TCTCTCTCTCTCTCTCTCTCTCTCTCTCTCTCTCTCTCCCTCTCTCTCTCTCTTCCCTCTCTTGCTCGCTCTCTCTGCCCCCCTTCCCCCCCCCTCCCCCCCAGTCTCAGACAAGAAACGTCGGCCCTTGTTCAAAGTCAGAATTTTCCGTTCACGCGCAATGTTTGACCTGCGTCAGATTTGGTGAGAGCGAGGGGGGGCAGTTGGGCGTTTCGCCTCCCAAAGGGGATCTGGAGTGGTTCGCCATCGGCCTTAAACTGAGACATTTCGCAGCACACAAACCTATCGACCTTTGCGACGCAGATGGTAGCGACCCTAACCCTTTGAATTGGCCAACGTGTTTCCGCGCAGATGCAATATGGAAACGCAATCTCGTCACTCGTTGCGCTTGGCGAGCACGAAATCCAAACATGCATATATTGTTCAAGACATTTAACTTTCTGTCGGCATTGAATCTTGAACCAGATGAGCTGCACGTGGTACACATTGGAACGAGTATGTATTTATGCGGGTCAGTGTTAAAATTGTTGGTTTACGAAATCATGCCAGACTCGCCAGAAGTGAACATGCGCGCGGTGTGGCGAGAGGTGATATCGTATTACAGACGGGAGAAGCCTACTGTGCAGTTCTCAGTTCTCAAACTTTCATCGTTCATAAATGCAGAGAAATGGAAGGAAACATATCCCAGGCTGAAGGGGAGAGGAGCCGAAATTAAAGCATTCGTGCACGCGTTGGCGTCAATCTGGCCGAAGTTTCGAAGATCGTGCGGGGCCCACAAGGCCCACGATGATCTCATCACGCGCATTCTCGATTGCCAGTTGACGATTCAAGGGTCATTGGACGAGTACAGTAAAGATGTGTTCATGCCTGGTACTGCAAGCGACGCTCTCCGAACAGAAATTGATAAGTTTCTTGACCTGTGGACAAAAATCGGGTTGGCGGCGGACGCTAGAAAACAATGCCTCATGTCAGCAGTGCCAAAACTGACATGGCTGTGGTTCCTGGGACAGCGGTCCAAGTTTCTTTCTCCTAGGAGGGGGTCTTGCTTCATAGACGAAGATTTCGTGAAGGCCATGAAATTCATTGCAGCCCGCTGCCTCAACGGGCAGAAACAACATATCGCTGTTCGGCTCATCGTGGAGAAATACAGATGGGTCCAACGATTTCAATCCATGCCATATTCATTTCTCCGCACTTGATTCGAAGTTAGACGAGCTGTATTTTCCTTCTCGCTTGAATGGGCATGCGCAGAAAAAGGTGTCAGTCCCGAAGAAAAAGCATTCCCCGAGATGGCCTTTCTACAGAGGTGCCATGATCCCAGGGTCAAAGCCGTATCAATGTCAATCGCTTCGCTCACGCCGCCGACCTGGACTCTTCGTTTTCAACGCTTGGGTGGCTTTTCTGAAGGTTGTGAGATCAGTTTGAAATATTAACGCGGCAGTGTTGGAGCCTCTTGGGTATCTTTCGGGGGAGGGGGGGGGGGGAGCTTTGGGCGTCTCGCAGTGTTTAGTATGGTATTTTTGAGAACCTCTGGGGATTGAATCATGTCCGCGACAGCTCAAATCCAAACGTATCAACATTCAGAGAGACCACGTTCTGATGTTTTCTCCCATAAACTTGCAAGAGAAACAAAACAATGCACATTCTCACCGCAAACGAACGAGAATACATGTTGAAACTGAACATAAATTTACCATAGATTTACCATGGATTTACCATAGATTTACCATTGACTTTCCATCAGGCGCGTTGGGTGTGTGACCAAAGTTTTCGGGTACTGTACCCGAAAATTTTGGGTAGCGTGACTGATCTTTTGTCCCCAAAAAACATTTCTTGGGTATGTGCCTGAAGTTTTTGGGATTTCCCCTAGATCAAATTTCTTGGGCACCCGGATGCATAGGGAAGAGCGCCCTGCCTCCCAAACAGCGTCCCCGACGACTCCAAGATCACCGAATCCGGAGCCCCCCGGATCGGCGGCACTGGCCGGAGGCCATGGTCATAAATCAACCGGGGGTGGGGGAGGGCGGGCCGGGGCGATGGGCGGCGGCCCTGCAGGCGGCACTGCACGGGAGGCAGAGGACAGGGGGGGGAGAGTGGTGAGGCTTTGGCTTGCGAAAGGCCAGCTCCCCCAGGTAGTCCGGGTGCTGGGTAGTCGAAGCCAATCTGGCGCCAATCTGGCAGGCCCAACCTGGCAAACGGAGGCAATCTGGCGAGGGAGCCCACGCGAATCCAGTCTGGCGAATACCCCAAACCATCCAGTTTGGCCAGGCCAGGTTGGCCCTTGGGGCCCCATCCAATCTGACAGTCTGGCCTTCGACTACCCAGGGGTGGCCTCAACAAGCCCCCAGACTGGTCACCACAACCCTATAGGGCGCGGAGAGCCCCAGGGGCGCCGCCGGAGGTCGCGCCAGGGTCGAGATCGCCCAGGACTGCTCGGGGAGCATGCGGGGGCCCGTCGGGGCTGCCGGGGGAGGCTGCCTGCGAGCAGCCCGAGGCCTTTCCAGGAGAGAGGGAGGGAGAGAAATCACGAGGGAAGCAGGTCCCAGGGCAAGCGGGTCCCGTACCCCGATGCCTTCCCTCGAAACAAGCTCGCATCGAGCTGCAGCGTGTACTCGCGGGCATCTTCTGGAACACGCTCGGGGTCATCAGCTATCGAGCACAGGACAGCTTCCACGTAGGAATTCTCGAGGGCCTCCTGGGGGGCTCTCAGGACCGTCTTCGGGGGCCTCTCGGGCGCCTCTTTGGGGCCTCTGGGCCTTCTTGGAGCTCTCTGAAGCCAGTGGGGTGCGTTCTGGAGACTTGAAGGGTCCATCGGAAACGAGAAAGCGATAACGTCAAGGACATAAGGTTTTCGGGTGCTCGTTTCCATGTTTTTGGAATTCTGGGGGTCTCTTGGAAGCCGCTTGGGGCCTCTTGAGACGAATGAGGAGGAGGAGGAGGAGGAGGAGGAGGAGGAGGAGGAGGAGGGGGAGGAGGAGGAAGAGGAAGAGGAGGAGGGGGAGGAGGAAGAGGAGGAGGAGGAGGAGGAGGGGTGAGGAGGAGGAAGAGGAGGAGGAGGAGGAGAATGAGGAGGAGGAGGCCTCTTGAGGGCCTTGTAGAAGGCCCCTGGAGCGCCTCTTTGGGGCCTCTGGGGCTTCGTCTGGGCTCCTTGGACTATCCCAGGGCGCTCGTGTCCCGCCCTGCGCCCTGGTCGGCCGTTTTCGGAAACTCTCTTGGCCTACTGGGGGGTGCAGCTGTTCAGGGGCACCAGCCAGGTCCCCCAGGATCTCTCTGTCTCTCTCTCTCTCTCTCATTGCTTCTCTCTTTCCTTCTCTCTCTCCCTCACCCTCTCCCTATCTCCCCCTCTCTCGCATATCAGCCACCGTGCAGCTGGGCACGGAGTGGGCGTGCCCTCAGGTCGTCTGCGGAATCCCCCAAGCCTCACACGTCACTCCTGAGGAGTCTTTCAGGGGCCCAGACCCCAAATTCACAAATCTCTCTGGTTGCCCCGCTGCTGCCCTGGCCCCCCCCCGCAAGGGGGCTCCGAGACGGGCCAGGAGGGCCCCAAGCGGCCCCCAACCGGCCCAGGGGGGCTCCGAGACGCCCCAAGATCGCACCAGGACGCCCAAGGTGGCCCCAAGACGGCCCGAGAGGCCTCCGAGACGCCCCAAGAGAGCCCCAAAGGCCTCTCAAGAGGGCCCCGAGAGACCAAACGCATCGATTTCCCATAAATGTTCAAATGATTGAAAGATCCTCTACGTTTCGAGCCCCCGACGCCCTAAGACGGCCCAAGAGGCCCCCAGGACCGCCGCAAGACGGCCCAAGAGACATTCAAGAGGACCCCAAAACGGCCCAAGAGGGCTCCGTGACGCCCCAAGATCGCACCATGATGACCAAGGTGGCCCCAAGACGGCCCGAGAGGCCTCCGAGACGCCCCAAGAGAGCCCCAAAGGCTTCTCAAGAGGGCCCCGAGAGACCAAACGCATCGATTTCCCATAAATCTTCAAACAATTAAAAGATCCTCTACTTTTCGAGCCCCCGACGCCCCAAGACGGCCCAAGAGGCCCCCAGGACCGCCCCAAGACGGCCCAAGAGGCCTTCAAGAGGACCCCCAAACGGCCCAAGATGGCCCCAAGACGGTCCAAGGGCACCGAGAGGAGCTCGAACGGACATGTCGAGCCCTCAGCCCTAAGAGGCCCTCATGAGGCCCCAGGCCCCCAAGATGCCCCAAAGAGGCCCCAAGAGGCCCCCAAGACGCAAGAGGCTCCAAATAGACCCCCAAGAGGCAGCTAAGAGGCCCCAGCACTGTCCCCTAGAGGCCAAAAATCTGTCCCGAAGAGGACTCGCATAACCATCCCGGAGGAGTCTGACCCACAATCCAGCGAAACGCGCGCGTCTAAGCCCGCCCGAACACTCGAAACCAACTTAGGGCCTCGCAAACGCTGGCAGCCATTGGCATCCGGGCGACGCACACACAGACACACAGACACACAGACACACAGACACACAGACACACAGACACACAAACACAGAGTCACAGAGACACAGAGACACAGACACACACAGAGACACAGCGACACAGCGACACAGAGACACAGAGACACACATAAGCACATAAACACCAGACACACAAACACACAAACACACACGCACACACCAGTGTATACATATATATATATATATATATATACATATCGGCAGAGCAAGAAATCTAGAAAGAGGGAGCGAGAGAGAGAGAGAGATGAACAATAACATAAGCACAACAAGAGGGACAAGGGAAGGGACATGTTCGAAATACGCACATATCACACAACTGTAAGTCATATGCACATGCGTACATACCGTGAGAGAGAGAGAGAGAGAGAGAGACAAAAAAGAGGAAGGGGAGAGATACCGGGGGGAAGAGTGTGTGCGGAAGGAGGAGGGGGGCATAGAGAGAGAGAGAGAGAAACAAAAAAAAAAAACGAGAGAGGAAAAGAGAGGAACAGAGCTGGGGCCCAACGCCCGCGACGGAAGCGCGCGCGTCCTGCCCCGCGTACCAGCGGCGTATCGCCTCCAGATCCCGGGCGGCCACCTCCTCGCGCAGGCCCAGCGCCGACAGCGAGGTGAGCACCCCCCGGCACTGCTCCGACAGGGGCGAGGCCTCGACGAACAGGCCCCGCCACACCAGCTCGGCCTGCCGCGCCTTCGGCAGCTGGTAGAACTCGTCGGCGCCCGGCGCCTCCGCGCGGGCGTGCACACCCTGCGAAATGCTTCAGAAATCATGGGTTAAGAAATTCATAGTCTCAGAATTTGATATAAAAACAGGAATCCCATTTAAATCTTAGGATTTACATTGAAACATTAAGAATGATCGAGACTCTGGCCGAAAACGTAAGTTTTCTTAAGCATCGCCTAGGGTGTACGGACTGCCCACCAAACCACTCCAACCCAGCCCGACGACCCGAACTCCAGGTCGGGGGACGCGGGTTCCACACGTGCCTTTGTCAAGGTTCCCCGGCCCCCCCCCCCGCCAAGGTGGAAGTGGAGGGCAAATCGAGGCCTTCGGGTTGGGTCGGGGCGGTTTGGTGGGTGGTGGTATACGGCGAGGGTCTTGTGGCACACGCTGCGTCGATCTTTCAGGGTCTTTCCATTGCTAGACTTGAACTCAGGAGGGTTCAGTGAGGGTCCTGGGGCACATGCGCAAAACAAGAGAACACTCGACTTCCCAAAACAAAGGGGCGGGGGGAAGGCAACGAGAAGGAGTAACCGACGTTCAAATCAAAATGGCAGCGGGGCAACGAACATCAGATCAATCAAGCCAAACTCCCAATAAAAAAACGGACAACGAATCTCGCTTGAATCAGTCTGGGTATATTACGGCGGACTGCGCTTTGGAATCAGTGAACGAAATGAAACCACACAGCTTAAAATATTATAGACTCTGATTTCAAATCACAGCAAGTTCAAGCGTCAAACCTCCTCCAAATACACATACCAGTGAACATTCGAACACTAAATCTGCCGAGACCAACTGCTCTAAAATTCGAGGGCCAATCGGGAACAGAAATACCAACACACTGGGTTTCAGCAGAACAGCTAGAGTTCCTGCTCGCGCGGCGATCCCCCAAACACACATGCAAAATAACAGTCGAAAACTAAAATCGGTCAACGTGTACCGCTCAAAATCAGAGCCTCAACCTGGAAAACAATTAAGCACACTGGAATTCAACACAAGAACTCGGATACCCTCTCGCGCGAGGGACCCCTTCAAACACGCATGCAAGATAACATTTGAACACTAAAATATGTCAACATGAACCGTTCTTGCATTCGAGGCTCGTCCTGGGCAAAAGTCCCACACAGTGGACATCAGCACAAAAACTCAGATTCCCGCTTGCGCGGGATCCCCTCCAGCCGCACATGCCAGAGAAGATTTGCTCACAGGCGCCGCCCCAGGACACTCGCAAGCGCCCGCGAGCGCGCGCGGGCGCTCCCAAGCGCCAGAGCTGGCAGACTCACTTGAAAAACAAGTGCGGGGAACAACCAACAGGATGGCGGCGGGCTCGCCGGCCAAAGTCAGTTCACAATGCTGGCGGCGGGGGATGGGGGGGACCGTTCGGTACTGCTGGCAATGAGCACCGAAGAAACCGGGGTGACCTCAAAACACATGTCTTGGGTGGGTTCAAAGAGCCGTTTTTGAAAGAATTCAAGAGCCAGTTCTAGACATACCAATGTTTGGGATCATTTGAACACGGATGTCGGAACTGATCCAGAAAGGAATTTCCCGAACTGATTGAACATCCGTACGACGTTGCCCAGAGCCTCTGTGGGTCCCTGGGGCCATCGGGGGGACAGAAATCTCCGTGGGGCACGTGTTGGCAGGCCAATCCCTCACTTGGTGTGCCCACTGTGGCATGCTGGGAGGAGTGTAAAAACACTTTTTGACGCACCCTGGCGCCGTACCCCCCCCTCCCTGGCGCGCGGAGCGCGCCAGGGGCGGCGCCGGAGGCGCCGCCGGGGAGGCCCCAGCGCGGATCCAAGCAATCCGCGCGGAGCGCCAACAGTTTATGTTTGTGGCGCTTTGTCTTCTTCGATGTCCTTCGCGGGGCGTACCCGCGGCAAAGTCTCGACTGCGCGGGGAGGCAGAGGTGGTCGAACACCGCCACGGCGGAGTAAAAACAATCCGCCCGAAGTCTGGGTCCGCCGCCTCCTCCGTGGCCCTCCTCCTCACCCTCCTCCTCCTCCACGTCTCCCCTCCTTCCTCCTCCCTCCTCCATCCTCCTCCCCCTCGCCCTCCTCCTCCTCCTCCTCCTCCTCCTCCTCCTCCTCGTCTTCCTTCTCCTCCCGCTCCTGCTCCTCCTCCCCCCCTCCTCCTCCTCCTCCTCCTCCTTCTCCTCCTCCTTCTCCTCCTCCTCCTCCACCTCCTTGTCTTCACTTCTCCTCCCGCTCCCTGCTCCTCCCCTCCTCCTCCTCCTCCTTCTCCTCCTCCTCCTCCTCCTCCTCCTCGTCTTCCTTCTCCTCCCGCTCCTGCTCCTCCTCCCCCCTCCTCCTCCTCCACCTCCTCCTCCTCCTCATCATCATCCTTCCCCTCCTCCTTCCCTCGCTGCCCGTCCTTCCCCTCCTCCTCCCCCTGTTGCCACCGCTCGGACGTCCATTCCCCGTGTGCCTTTCGATTTCGTGCGCGTATTTGTTCCCAAGATGCTCACCGACGCCTCTTTCGCCAGCGCAGTGACTCTGCCTAGCTGCCGACGGAACAGGTGCTCCCAAGATGCTCCAAGATGCGGAAAGATGCTCCTCGCCGAGAACACAGGCAAAGCGTCCGAGCGGTGCCGAATCCTGAAACAGAACGGCAGTCTCGGTGTGGTGACGGCGGAGGAGGGCAGGCAGGAGAGCCCAGAATCGAATCGATAACTCGGATCGGCGATCGGAATGAATCGGATCGGCAGAAATCGGCGGCCGGGTCGGGAAAAGTCGAATCGGCAGAAATCGGCAGGCTAGTATGCCTCCAAGCAGGAATCGGAACCCAAATCGGAATCCCAAGTCGGATCGAATCGGAATCGGAAGCAATCGAAATCGAATCGAATCGAAGCGGAGGAATCGAAGTGAGCCCTGGGCAGGTTCCCCTGGCGCCTCGGGGCTCGTAGCCAGGTGCTCGGCGACCAGGTAGTGGTAGGTCAGCATGTCGTCGATCCCATACTGCATGAACACCTCCCCGTGGCCCGCGGAGAACAGGTGGGTGTGCACGTCGATCGCCTTTCGCTTCGCTTCGCTCGCAGCTCGATGTCCCGTTGGACGAAGCTGTTCGCGCGGCCGCGGCCGCGCGCGCGCGCCCGAGGCGCGCGGAGGGGGCCACCCCCCCGACACGGGCCCCCGCCAGGAGGGCAAGGAGTAGAAGCCGCCTAGGCCTCGCAGGAGAAGCCGCTTGGGCCTCGCAGGGGGAGAAAAAAGGGCCCAGAAGTTTCGGGGCGGAGGGGGGGAAATGGGAGAGGCCACATGGGGGTGGCAAAGCGGAGTGGGGGGAGGGGGCTCATTAAAGGCCTTGGGGAGGAAGGGAGTCCACCCCCATGAGGCCTTCACGCGGGTGGCGGCCCAGGTCACGCCTGGACCGTGTCGTCCCCCCCCCTCTCCCTTGAGGGGGGCGTCCGTGATGATGTAGGCGGCCGCCTTGAGCCCCACGGTCGTCTTGCCGTGGTAGGCGCCCGTCTCGATCCTCTTGGGCCCTGTTACGGCCAGCTCAGGTCGTCGGATCTGCTGGCTGCAGTCCGACCTCCAGGGAGCATGCTGCCCAAGACGGAGTCGACGAAGTCGTCGAGTGGGTTGCTGTGCTCGTGGGAGTGGCCGTCGTAAATGGCGTAGAGGTTGCTGGTGGAGTCAATCCTGGTCGGTCTTCCTGTGGCGATTCTCTCCGTATCGTAGTATACGTAGTTTATCTGCTCGGTCGTCCACATCAGCGACGGACCTTCTGGGGCTGAGGATTGCGCTAGTAGTACTGGTACTTCTGCAATGTGGGCGGTATGGAAGATGTGGATGGCGAGGCGGGCGTGGTGGTTCGCGATCAGTCGACGTTCTGCTGCCCTGCCTCCAAGGTTAACTCTTCCCCATGGGTCCGAGGTTGTTCTGGAGGATGCTGCCGTTCTGTCGTGGATGTCGCCATCACCTTGGTCTGTCCAAGTGCTGGGTGAGAGGTTGATCGTCACTCCTGCGAAGTCACCCTGTCGAATGTGCTGTTGTATCTCTGATCCCCCCTCCTCCTCCTCCTCCTCCTCCTCCTCCTCCTAACCCCTGCTCCTGCTCCTCCCACCACCATGTCCTCCTTCTGCTCCTCCTCACCCCACTCCATTATAGTCCTGCTCCTTCTCCTCCTGCCCCCCCTCCTCCTCCTCCTCCTCCTCCTCCTCCTGCTCCTACTGCTTCTCCTCCTCGTATTCGGCATCCTCAAAGGTCGCCATGGGACGGTTCGAACTTTGATCGACCCCGACAAGTGGGCACACTTTTCCCCTTGTAGAACTTCCGGGTCCGCTATCCCAATCCCGAGGCCAGGAGGGGAAGGGCCTAGTCTCACACAATTCCGAGTACAGTGCCCAAACCCTACCTACATTGCTTTGTGCCGCCATTTTTCTCGCATGTTACACCTTTGAAAGCAGCGTCAAGAGACGCCAGAGAGTTCGACAAACACGCGCGCCTGGCACAGAGGCCAGAATGTCGAACGTATCAAAAATCAAACCTCTTCCAGCAGACTCACAGTTGGATTCCACCGCCCTACCTCCTGCATTGGATGCATACACATCATGACCGCATTGAAGTGTGCAGTGCACGACACACATGAAGCGCCTGGAGATCCGAAAACACATGGATGACCAGACAATAATGAGAGAAGTGGGGTACAATCAACCAGTATAGAAAGGATGCGCAATTAAGGATGCAAGGGCCTTGGACGCCCATTTCGAAGCTTTTCGAGCGGGGCGCGGCAAGCGAAAGCGGCGAAGGATGGACCGAGGAGGCAAGGATGCAAGAGTACCCTTGGGAAGGTTGCCCATCCTTACAGTCGAGGCGTTGGCCTAAGGAACCCTAAATAAGGAACGGGGCCCCATTTTTCCATGAGTCAAACTTCGACTTCCCACCGGAAATCTGAGGAAAACCTCAGGCAAGCTGCAAAACAGTGAAGGAGCACGGAGCCCCTCCCCAACGAGAAGGGTTCCTTCTTCAACGCCTCGACTGTACTGTTATGGCTGACTGTAGCACTGAGAGAAAACCAAACATCGAAGAGACAAACGGAGCCGGGGATTTTCAGGGGCAGCGCTCTCGCAGAGCCCGGCGTGCCTGCCGTCGCCTGGCACGCGGGGCTCTCCCGCGTGTTTTTGTCCCGCCCAGGCTGCCGATGCGGGCGGAGGGCGAGAGGCGGGCAGCGACCGAGTCCGGAGACAAACCAACACACACGAAAGGATGGGCTTCCTGTGGTCCTGCGAGGGCGGAGGCTGAAGCGATGGATATCCTGATGGGCCTGTTTCCCACCACCACCACCACCAGGAGTTGGAGAGGGGAGAAAGTCCTCCTCCTCCTCTTCCTCGTCCTCCTCCTCCTCGTCCTCCTCCTCCTCGTCCTCCACCTCCTTTCCCCCTCCAACTTATGGCGGTGGTGAAAGACAGGCACATCAGATCCCCTTTGACGAAACAGAAGACGATGTCATTGGTTGGCCGCGGCGGCAACATGCAGGACAGCAAGTATGGTGTTCGCAGGTGCCTTGAACAGCACGCAGGCGTAACAGCAGACATTGAGCAGCTTGATTGAGCGTTTGCGCTGAGTGAAATGTACATCCGAGACAGGACAGGACAGGACAGGCGCCGATGTGCGCCCTGGGGGACGGCCCTCTAAGAGCTCGGCGGGGGGGCCGGAGCGCCGAAACTCAGATGTCGTGGTACGTGATTACTTTACGACTGTATAATTTTATTTTATGCAAATGTACGCGACTGTGCTCAAATCCACGGAATGAGCTCAAGAACATGCCCGACGACTTGCGAGAGGCTTACAACGCACTTGGTGGTGTGTCCGATAGCCAGGCTCCTCCCCAGAATCAGCGTCCAAGCCTTATACATGCAGCACATATGACTGGCATACTCAAGCAAGAGAAGAAACTAACAATATACCAAACACCATTCCCAACACGTTTCAATGAATAGTGGAAGACGTGTATGGATCTTCCAGCATGGGTCGCACAGAAACATACCATTACTATATGTCCACCTTGGAGGCGCGCGTCCGACCACATATAGTCTACCCATCTTGTAGTATATCGTTTTTCAAGCGGTGTGGCCAGGGAGCGCCCGCCACGACGCATATACTATAAGATTTCTCGGTGCGCGCGTCGCCCCTGGCGGGGCGACGAACACATCGGACATCGGGGGGTGAGATCGCAGTGAAACGCAAAACCCCCACCGGGAAATCGGTTTCGGTTTTGTGTTCGTGTCGTGCGTGCGGGCGAGGAGGAGCTGCGCGTGATCCTCCTGCCGCTAGGCCGAAATATAGAAGCGAAAGTCCGTTCCCCGTCCGCCCATGGCCGGGAGGTGTCCCAGTTGGGCCGGGCGGTGTCCCGGGTGTCCCGGGTGTCAGTACCCTGACCTTCCAGAGAGCTATTTTTTAGCACTGGAAACCTAAAAACCTAAAAAACGAAACGAAACAGCCTAAAACCAAGACGTAAAATAGCTATGGGATAGGTTTTTACGTCGGGTGCTATTTTTTAGCCCTCCTGGAAGGTCAGGGTAGGAGCAAGTCCGTTTCCCGCCCGCCGGTGGCCGGGAGGCGGTGGCCGGGAGGTGTCCCAATCGGGCCGGGCGGTGTCCTGGGTGCCCCGGGCGTCCGGGCGCTAACGCATGTCGCCAATGTCATAATTCATTTTGTTCGGCGCCTGCGGCGGGCTTTCTTATCCAATCCAGCTTATCTTATCCGATCCATCTTGTCCCATCCAATCCATCTTATCTTGTTCAACCCATATTGTCTCATCCTACCTTATCCCACCCAGCCCAATCCACCCAACCCAATCCATCAATTCATGTGTTTCTGCGCCAGCGGCGGGCCAACCCAACCCATCTTGTCCAATCCATTTCTTCCAGTCCAACCCATCTCATCTTATCCAATCCATCTTATCCCATCTCATCCCATCCACACAACCCAATCCATCAATTCATTTTTTCCGGCGCCTGCGGCGGGCTTTCTTATCCAATCCAGCTTATAGTATCCAATCCATCTTGTCCCATCAAATCCATCTTCTCCAACCCATATTGTCCCATCTCGTCTTATCCCACCCAATCCAATCCATCCAACCCAATCCATCAATTCATTTGTTTATCCGACTGCGGCGGGCCAATCCATCAATTCATTTCTCACTGCCATCATTGTGGTGGAGGGGGAGACTGATAGAGAGAGAGAGAGAGAGAGATATAGAGAGACCTTTATTCCCTGGTATGCGATGGCTGTCGTGGTTGTCTTGCGATTGTCCTGATGGTTGTCTGGTGGTTGTGCCGATGGTTGTCCTGTGGTTGTCCGACAACAAATCGTTGTTCGGCGCCTGCGGCGGGCTTCCTCATTTTTCTTTTGAGGTCGATAGTGAGATCGACAGTGAGATTCACCGATAGGTCGGTCGACGGATAGGTAGATAGTGGGATCTCATTGTCATCGCAATCATCATTGCGGTGAAGGGAGACTCTGATAGAGAGGGAGAGAGAGAGAGAGAGAGAGAGGGCGAGAGAGAGAGAGAGAAAGAGAGAGAGATGAGACCAAGGTGACAGGCTGGAGGTCAGTCAGGGTGGGCTTTTGATCTCAATCCCCCCCCAACCTCCTTGTCGCCCGCAGGGCGGTCGTAGAGGTAGTAGAAGTATGTTGGGGGGACGCCGATACAACCCCTTCATCACTCCCCCAAGGATGGTCTCTCACCCGGCGTTGTCTCCTGTCGGCCCCGAAGCCGCCGACGCCGGCCTCCAGATGCCGGACAGGTGGACGAGCCGGCCGCCTCGAGCGCTCCGGGCCGAAGCGCCAGATGCCCGCGGCTGTGACCCCAGAATCGCCCCTGAGGGCCGAGGGGCAGCGTCCAAGGGGAGACCAGCTCACTGGCCATCGCTCGGACGTCCATTCCCTGTATTTTTTTTTTGGTTTCGTGCGTGGTTTCTTCGGCGCAGGATCAAGGATGCTCCTCGATGGTCCTCGCCGAAGGAAAAATGCACACGTCCGAGCGATGCCAAGCTAGAGGCCTCCTCGATGGGGTCCGAGCAGATGGGGTCGGAGGATCGCACCGCATCGCCAATGCATCGCCAATGCATCGGCGATGCATCGGCGATGCATCGCCGACGTCGGCGACGCATCGGCGACGTCGGCGTGGGGAAAATCGGACTCCGCATCGATCCGCATCGCCGATGCATCGGCGATGCGGCGCGATCCTCCGACCCCATCTACTCCGACCCCATCTAGGAGGCCTAGACAGGCTCAGGGGGGGAAAACCATCCACCCGAAGTCGACGCTGCGCCTCGCCGCCGGGTCGGCGACGGGCCCCCCCCGAGACCGCGAGTGCGGCGAGGAGCGGGCCCGTGAGGCCCCTCGACGGCGACGAAGGTGTGCGACCGGGGGCCGACGCCTCCCCCCCTCGAGCCTCTCCCCTGGCCAGCGCTCGGACGTCCCTTCCCTGTGCTGTCTTCGGTCTCGTGCGTGGTTTCTGCCGCCAGAGGATCAAGGATGCTCCTCGATGGTCCTCGCCGAAGGAAAAAAACGCACACGTCCGAGCGATGCCGAGTCCCCTGGTGGTTTTTTGGGTCCTATGGCATCTGGCCTCGGGCGGCCGTTCGGCACGACCCGGGCATCCCCCGGGAGCGCCCCTCGGCGAGGCGCAGCCGCTGGAGGGCGTCCCGAGGCGGGGAAGCCGCCGCCAACGAAACGAGCCCATCCCCCCGCAGCGCCGCCCCCGAGCCCCGGCCCTCAAGCCCCACCACGGCGGCTTCTGCCACGGCACAGGTGTCTGGACACCTCCGCTGGTACCAGCCGTTCATCCCGAGTCGCTCTTTGACGGCCAATGGGGCCCTGTGAGGGCCCCCAGAGGCCCAAAACCACCACCGAAACCCTGATGTCGTGGTACCTGGTCAGGGCGCGAGGATGTCAGAGTCCTCCTCCGCCTCCTGCTCCTCCACTTGGCGGCGCGCACAAGTGTAAGGGGAGGGGCGAAGGCTTCTTAGAAGGACGCTACTTCTGAGAAGGTGCCGGCCTTCCATCCATAGACAAGGCCCGCACCTTCCAAGAAGCAGGGGTGCTTCTAAGAAGCACTCCCCCCTCCCACTACCCTCCTCCATCGTACCCATGCCCAGACATGCGACGTCCTGATGATTTCAGTGCGCGGTTCCCCGAGGTCCTGACCAGTTCCTCAGGGCCGGTTTGTAGAGGCCTCTTAGATGGGGTCGGAGTAGATGGGGTCGGAGGATCGCACCGCATCGCCGATACATCGGGCCCCGCATCGAACCGCATCGCCGATGCATCGGCGATGCACCCGCGATGCACCGGCGATGCATCGTCCCGGTCGGCGGTGCATCGCCGACCCGGCGCGGGGAAAATCGGTCGGAGATCGAACCGCAATCGCCGATGCATCACGCTATGCGCACGCGAATCCTCCGACCCCCATCTACTCGGCCCCATCCAGGAGGCCTTGTTCCCATCCTGGGCCGGTGTTTGAGCAGCCCGGGAGGCCCGGCGGAGGGCCCAGCGAGGCCGAAAGCGGTGGAAAAGCCCTCCCGCCCTGAGGTTTCCACGACGGCGCGCCTGGCCGATCCGCCTCGACCCTCCAGAGCCTCACCACCCTCCTCCCTCCTCCTCCTCCTCCTCCTCCTCCTCCTCCTCCACCTCCTCCTCCTCCTCCTCCTCCCACCTCCTCCTCCTCCTCCTCCTCCTCCTCCTCCTCCTCCTCCTCCATGGCGGCCTCCGCGGCGGCAACCTCCTGCCGCACGGCCGCGTCCAGCTGCCCGGCCTGCAGCAGCAGGGGCCTCCGCGGCTGGAGCTCCGCCAGCAGCCTCGACCGCCCCGGGGGGCCGCCGCCGCCGGCCGCTGAGGGCTCGGCGACCTCTGCTGTCCGGCCCGCGGCTGCATCGCATCGCGAGATCGGGTCACGGACATGATCGCGTCGTGAGCAAAAATCAGGAAATCAGAAATCAAGAATCAGCAAAAATCGAGGTGGGAGGAGGAGGAGGAGGAGGAGGAGGAGGAGGAGGAGGAGGAGGAGGAGGAGGAGGAGGAGGAGGAGGAGGGTGGTGAGCTCTGGAGGGTCGAGGCGGATCGGCCGCTCGCAGAGGGGGGAAACTCAGGGCGGGAGGCTTTCCATCGCTTTCGGTTCTCGCTGGGCCCTCGCCGGGCCCTCGGGCCGCTCAAAACCGGCCCAGGATGACAAACCGGCCCTGGGGAACTAGGTAAGACCTCGGGGAACCGCGCACTGGAAACATCAGGACGCCACATGGCTGGGCATGGGCACGATGGAGGAGGGTCGAGGGGGAGTGAGGAATGCTGCTTAGGAGCACCCCAGCTTCTTGAAAGGGGGGAGAGGAAGGGCCCGGACTTCCGGGGGCGCCGCCCCGAACAAAAAAAACAAACAAAACAAAGAAAACAACAAAAAAAAAGAAAAACAAAAAAAAAAACGGGGCGCCGCATGCCTGGGAGCGCACCCCGTGCGACGCCTCGCAGCGCCCCCGCGCGCGCCGCCCCGCCCCGCTCCGGCCCGAGGTCGGACCGCCGCGCCCGGCCGCTGCTCAGCTCCGCGGCGCGCAGAGGGGGGGTACTTAGGGGGAGGGGGGGAGGCTTCTGCAGAAGGGGGCTTGCTTAGAAGGTAGGTGGGATGGGGGGAGGCTTCCGAGAGGGGCGGCCTCCTTAGACGGCAGGTGGAGGGGGGAGGCTTCTCCGAAGGGGGCTTCTTCGAAGGGGGCTGCTCCGCTTCGCGGCGCGCAGAGAGGGGTTAGTAGGGGGAGGGGGGGAGGCTTCTTAGACGGGGGCTGCTCCTTAGAAGGGTAGGGGGAGGGGGGAAGGCTTCTTAGAAGGGGGACAAAAAAAAAAAAAAAATGCCCTTTATCTCTCCCTTCGACGGCGCGCAGAGGGGGGTACTTTAGGGGGAGGGGGGGAGCGGACTTGAGCGGGGCTTGCTCCTCTACGGGGCGCGGGGCCCCACTCCCTGTACTATATAGGAGAAGGCCCGGGCCCCGCCCGCGCCTGCGGGAAAAGGAAGCACGCGTGCTGTCCTGAAGGCTCTTTCTGACTACCTACCGAACCACCCCACCCAACCGCGAAGACCCGAATTTCGGGTTGGGGGGGGTAAAGGGGGGGTTCCACTGTTGTTTTTGGTCGATGTTTCCCGCCCGCCCCCCCCCACTGGAAATCGAGGGAAAATATGAGCCTTCGGGTTGGGTTGGGGTGGTTTGGTGGGTGGTGACTTCCCCCCTACCCCCCGCCCCCCCTCTGCGCGTGGCCGATCTGCAGCCGGCCCCGGCCGACGCCCGCGGGTCGAGCCGGGCTCTCGCGGCCCCGGCGCCGCGCGCCGGGGCGCCCACCGTCTGCCCGCCCCGGGGTTTCTGGGGAGAGCTCGGGCTTGCGACCTCAACTGACTTGGCGGCGCGCACGAGGGGGTGGAGGGAGGCTGTTTCTTAGAGGAGGAGGAGGAGGAGGAGGAGGAGGAGGAGGAGAGGAGTAGAGGAGGAGAGGAGAGGGGGAGAAGGAGGAGGAGGAGGAGGGAGGGAGGAGGAGGAAGGAGGGGTTGAGGTCCATACCCTCCCCCCTCCCGCTCGTTGCCGATTGGGTGGATGCGTCGTGGAGGAGGGGGGCTTCCTCTTCCCTCAGGAGGAGGCTGTTTTTCTCAGAAGGCGCCGGCCTGACCTTCATAGGCAAAAGGGCCGCGCCTTCTGAGAAGAAGCAGGGGTGCTGCTAAGAAGCCCTCCCCCCTCCCCCCACCCCCCTCTGCGCGTGGCTGATTGACACCCGCGCCCACCTCGATTCCCCTGGATTCATGACGAGTATTGCAGCCGCCCAGTATCATAAGGATGCACGATGCAGTCAAACACCCTAATAAGGACGCGCGGTAAGGACGCAAGACCCTTGGAAGCCGAAGTTGGGATTTTGGGGGGCGGCGGACGACGAAAACCGCAAGGACGCAAGAGCAAGGATGAGCAAGGACGCAAGGGTACCCTGAGCAAAGTCGCGCGTCCACATTAGCGTTTCTGACTGTAAGGATGCAAGGGCCTTTGCAGGCCGTTCCGAAGCTTTTCGAGCGGGGCGCGGCCAACGGAAGTGGCCAAGGATGGGCCGAGGAGGCACGGATGCAAGGGTGCCCTTGGGAAAGTTGCGCATCCTCACTATGCGGGTTGACTGTAGCAGCCTCCGCAATTGCGGATAAGATTGAGGGGGCGGGCGCGGGGTGGGTCGCTGGTGGGTCTCGGAGTTGGTCGCGGGGTGGGTCGCGGGGTGGTCGCGGGTGGGTCGCGGGCGAGGACGACGGGAACGCAGCATCAAGCAGGATCCGCCAGACAGAACCCCACTTCTGCTACGCACCCAGGGACAACCGTTCGGCCCCCTCACTTCGACGGCGAGCGAGGGGGTAAATGAGAAGGAGAAGGCATTCTTAGAAGGCGGCGGGACTTCTCAGAAGCCCTCGCGCCTTCTGAGAAGCTCTTGCTTCTTCTCGGGGGAGGCCCAGAACACTTCTCAGAAGGCCGCGGGGTTCCCGAGCCTTCTGAGCAAGCCGTCCCCTCCTCACTTCCCCCCCCCTGTCGCTCGCGGCCGATCACCCTGACCTCGACGGGTCTGGCCTGGTCCCCGCAGGTCGACCGGAAAGGAAACAAAAGGCCTGCGAGCCCTCTGTGGGAGCTGGCTCTCCGCCAGCCGCCTCTCTGCCGCCGAAGGGGCGCCGCCGCCGCCGCCGCGGGCCCCCGCGGGAGAGTCGGGGGCACGCGCCGCGGTGGGCCCGCATCGGAAGGAGGCGCGGCCTCGGCTACTCCAGATTTCGTAATAAAGGGAGGGGGGTCTCATTTCGGGGGGGGGTCTCTTCCAGGCTATCTTGGAGGGCCTGGGGGGTCTGGGGGCGATGTTTTGGAGGGTTCTCCCACGGGGGAGGTCTGAAATGGCTTGTCTTGGAGGGTCCTGACCTCCTCCCTTTTGTTACGAAATCTGGAGTACCCACCTCGAGGCCGTGTCGAGCGGGACGCGGTCGAGGGAAGCGGCGAAGGGTGGACGGAGGAGGCGAGGAGGCAAAAGGAACCCTCGGGGGGGTTGCCCATCCTGACCCTGCGGGTCAACTGTAGGAGTTCAGTCGGGCCTGTCCCCCTCTACGGGAGGAATCGTCAAAATAGTCAAAAAAAATAGTCCAGGGAGCATTATTTAAATATTTTTGACCATTTTGAAACATTGTTTGAGCATTTTT